ACTTCAAACTTACCAGTTCAACTTAATACTATAGATAGAATAGCACCTCTATATAACATAGATGATTACTCTAAAGAGAGTAAATATAGATTAGAAATAGCATATAAACGAGCAAGGATTATGCTCGAGGAGCATAAAATTAAAAATAAACAGCTCTATGACTTAAAGTTAAAAGATTTAAATTTAGCTGCAGGAGATAAAGTTTTATTGAAAAATGAAACAGGACATAAGCTAGATTTTAAATATATAGGACCATATAGAGTAGAAAGTATCGGAGAAAGAGATAACGTCATAATCTCCGATAATAAAAACAAAACTCAGAAAGTACATAAGGATAGGTTAAAGATTTGCAATTATTAATAATTTTTTAGTATGGCCATACATAAATATAAACCATAAAAATATACTATTCCGCATTTATATTCAAATAACTTTTAAATTTTATCAATATTAATTAAAATTCAATATTCTAATAATTGACTAAAAAAAGAAAAAAAATATATATATAAATTGTCTTTTTAAGAATACATAACTCGTATACATATATAGTAAAAGCTAAAAATAAAATAACTTCATTATATTACGTTATTTTTCAAAAGGAGGGAGATGTAGTATGCTCATATTAAAGTAAAGTAAAGTATTCATTATTTCGAATACCCACTGTACCGACGGTAGTTAAAGAATACACACTGTAACACTTTGTTTCAGTGTTTACGTAACAATAAAGTCCCAGACATTCTGGGTGATCGTATTACGATTCACTCAAGAATGCCTCGAGCGACCCAAGTGCAGCGTCAGCATGTTCCCATGACTTGACGGCACTAATATACATGCATACACACATATATCTTCCCTCGCGCTCTCGCTGCCAACAGCGCTGAGCATATACATATTAACATATAAGAGATAAGAACACATAGTTCTGCCGCTCCGCTGCCGGCGTCACTGGCAGCGCAGCTCCGCGGCTTTTGGCTTACAAAAGCCCAAACCACAATTGTAAAATACAGAACAGAAATCACAATAAAACAGATCGGAGGGTTGAGCCCCATCGATCCAACAAAAAGGATTTGAACATTTCATTTTACAATACTCTTATAATTAGCATATTTTACAAATTGTTTCGCGCCAACTGCTTATCTACATTACATGTAGTTGCAGAAGTGGCTGTAAATTGGCAGGGTAACATTTCTTACGGTATTGGCTTATTTGGTATTTATTTTTTGTTAGTAGCTATCGATAATTTGGCTAAATGCCAGGGTAACACTAAACTTATTGCTACTTTGTTTACATTGTTTTTGTTTTTAATGATTTCAGGTGGAGTATGCAGCCGTGAAGAACATCATTACGCCTATTGCTCTCGTCGTCGGCTGCGAAGTGGAATCCTTTCGAGTGTCGGCGCTAAACTGTGACTGCAGGACAGCATCAACAGGGCTGAAGCTGGCCGAGGTCCAGTGCATCGTCATTCTGGATGTGGATTATCAATTTCTGTGAAGGGGAAGTGGCTTCGTATCTGTGGAAGAATAAAAAGGTTTTTAGTTTCTTTTCAGCCGCCGCCATCATCTGGATTCTGGAGCTGCCGCCGTCCATCATCAGGTTCTCTGCTGGGGCCGTCATTTGCCTGCGTAGCAGCTGCATTAGCGCTACTGCGGCTGATTTCCAGACTGGTACGGCATACTGCCATATTGGGGCAATCAGCTGCTTATAGAGGAGGACCTTTGGAGGTAGCGGGAGTTTACTGTTTCTGCCGATGATCCAGTCGAGCTTTTTGATCCGGGCCCTTGTTATAGTGACTATAGCCGCTACATGCTTATTGAAATTGAGCTCCGTATTCCCAGGTATGGCATGACGGATTTATTGGCCAGGAGTTGCCCGGCTAACCTTGGAGCTGGAGTGTGTCGCTGCACAGGTGAGAGAGTGAGTAGAACATGAGCAGTTTTTGCAAGACTGATGGTTATTCCCCATTTCTTAGACCATGATAATGCATCAGCCAGGAGCCGCTCCACGAGGTATACTGCGTCATCAGCGTACGTTGCTAGCATTTGGGTTGAGTTTGCGTGTCTTGGTGGCTGCGGCATGTCGGCAGTGTAAAGATTATAGAGCACTGGGCCAAGTACGCTTCCTTGCGGCACTCCAGCGGTTATGTGCTTTAGGCTTGAGGTGATGTTGTTACAGCAGACGACTTTGAAGCTTCTGTCTGAGAGATAGCTGGTGAGTAGAATGTATAAATTGTCAGGTATTATCGTTTTAACTTTGCAGAGAAGATCCTGATGCCAGACTCTATCAAAAGCTTCCTGGATATCCATGTACACAGCACTGCAATGCCGCTGCGCTTCGTAGGATCTGAGGATAAATAGCGTGACTCGTCCGATTTGCTGTTCCGCTGAGTGCTGACTTCTGAAGCCAAATTGATGGTTTGGAATAGCCATGGCAAAGCTTTCTTCTTCAAAGAGTCGCTTGAGGATGAGGCGTTCAAGGATTTTGGACAAGCCTGTAAGCTGGCTGATGGGTCTATAGGACTCAAGCCTATCACTCGGCTTTCCTAGTTTCCTTAACATAGAGATTTTTGCGCATTTCCAGGACTTTGGGAAGTGGCCGAACTGCAGAGCCGAGTTGCATATCAACAGCAGATACTCGATGGCGGATGTTGGCAGAGATTTAATGACGCGATTGTCGATACTGTCGAGACCGGGTGCCTTTTTCGTCTTGAGCTTCTTAATTTCCGATTTGAGTTCCTGGATGGTCACAGGTCTGATTATTTGAGCAGCTTCATCTGGACCGCTTTCTTCTAATACTGCGTTAATTTCTTATCTGTCTTCTAGGGCTGCCGTGATCTTTGGCGTGAAACATGCTTCCAGGTGCTGCGCAAAGGCCTCAGCTTTTTCCTACGTAGTTTTGCACCCAGGATCAGCAGGAGCTTGCTGCCCTTCCGCCACGTGCCTTCTGACTGGCAGATTTGGTATGGGCTGTCTCTTGATTGTGTTGGTGAGCCGCCATAGTTTCTGCATGCTGTACCTATCAGTTGGATCGATGTCGTGTAGCAGTCTGTTCATTTGTTTGTCTTTTTGTAGCTTGATCCGTTTACGTATTCTGTTAGTCAGCTGATTGATAGTGCGTGCAATGAGGGGGTTGGAGCACCTATCTTTTTGGTTGATTTTGCAGAGAATTCTTTTGATCTTGATCGCTTTCAGCGTTTGCGAGTCAAGATGAAAGTTTTGCGGTCTGTACACTGTGTGCTGGTTACTTGAGGTTTGCGAAGCCAATTCAGCTGCAATGTAAATGTTCTTTTCAAGGATAACCACTGCATCATCTATGTCGTCGCCGTTGTGAAGTTCAGTCTCCAGATGGATTCGCTGTTCTAGGTGAGCTTGAAATCTTCTGATATTTGCATTTTTTGGTAATAGTATCTACTTTTTTCCATATTCAGGTCTCAGGAGGAGTTTAATGATTTGCATGTTGTGATCTGAACCTAAGTCATATGATGTTTCAATGTGAATTAAATTGTGTCTAATACCCGTATAAACCGCAAAGTCTATAGCAGACGACATATGTCGTCGATTTGAAGGGAAATGGGTGGGGGATCCAATGGCCAGTATGCTTTGGTCGTTTTCCTGGATGCATTTCAGAAGTTCAGCCCCTCTTCTACACGATCTTGGATTGCCCCACCACTGGCTTTTGGCGTTACAATCCCCAGCTATGATAAATCTGCTACCCAGAGTCAAATACCTGTTTAAATTGTGTATCAATCCATTCGTGTGCAGGTGGACAATAGATCGCACCAATGTTTATTGTTTGATGGTTTTTTATTTTTGCAGCTATGGTGCACATCTGGATGGAGTCCTCTCTTGTTGGTGCGAGGGAAATGTGCGGGATGTTGTTTCTGTTGTGTTCGTCTTGCGAACTAAATTGGTAGTCTCTCTTCATGTCGAACCAATTTCCATCACCACCTGCATTAGCAGGGGGCAGGGAGGCTGACATGAAGAGAGAACCGTTTTATTTGTTTATACTCTTATAATTAGCATATTTTACAAATTCTTTCGCGCCAACTGCTTATCTACATTACATGTAGTTGCAGAAGTGGCTGTAAATTGGCAGGGTAACATTTCTTACGGTATTGGCTTATTTGGTATTTATTTTTTTTTTAGTAGCTATCGATAATTTGGCTAAATGCCAGGGTAACACTAAACTTATTGCTACTTTGTTTACATTGTTTTTGCTTTTAATTATTTCAGGTGGAGTATGCAGCCGTGAAGAACATCATTACGCCTATTGGTCTCGTCGTCGGCTGCGAAGTGGAATCCTTGCGAGTGTCGGCGCTAAACTGTGACTGCAGGACAGCATCAACAGGGCTGAAGCTGGCCGAGGTCCAGTGCATCGTCATTCTGGATGTGGATTACCAATTTCTGTGAAGGTGAAGTGGCTTCGTATCTGTGGAAGAATAAAAAGGTTTTTAGTTTCTTTTCAGCCGCCGCCATCATCTGGATTCTGGAGCTGCCGCCGTCCATCATCAGGTTCTCTGCTGGGGCCGTCATTTGCCTGCGTAGCAGCTGCATTAGCGCTACTGCGGCTGATTTCCATATTGTGTGTTGCAAATGGATTGCGCAGCCAGTTCTCGCGTCTGACTTGGAGCAGTATTGTTTGGATGGCTGTCAGGCTTCTGCTGCTGTTTGGATTGTGCTCTTTTATCATTGCGGCATACCTTGGCCTGGCCAGCCTTCTTGGAATGTATGGGTGCGTTGCGATCTCACAGGCAAGTAAATTTGTGTGCTGCATTAGCCGAGTGTAGCAGTTCCTTCAAAGTCTGTTATAAACTTTCTCCACAGTTGCTACTTGGAGATCCGCATGCAGTGCGTTGTTGCTCACATACCGGGGAGCATTTGACATTGCTCTGAGGGCTTTGCTTTGGATCGTCTGGAGCTTGGCCATTTGCATGCTTGAAGTCAGTGGCCCCCAGACTGGCATGGCATACTGCCATATTAGGGCAATCAGCTGCTTATAGAGGAGGACCTTTGGAGGTAGTGGGAGTTTACTGTTTCTGCCGATGATCCAGTCGAGCTTTTTGATCCGGGCCCTTGTTTTAGTGCCAGGTATGGCATGACGGATTTTTTGGCCACGAGTTGCCCGGCTAACCTTGGAGCTGGAGTGTGTTGCTGCACAGGTGAGAGAGTGTGTAGAACATGAGCAGTTTTTGCAAGACTGATGGTTATTCCCCATTTCTTAGACCATGATAATGCATAAGCCACGAGCCGCTCCACATTTTCGTTGGCTTGTTTTGGACTTAGGGCAGATACGAGGTATACTGCGTCATCAGCGTACGTTGCTAGCATTTGGGTTGAGTTTGCGTGTCTTGGTGGCTGCGGCATGTCGGCAGTGTAAAGATTATAGAGCACTGGGCCAAGTACGCTTCCTTGCGGCACCCCAGCGGTTATGTGCTTTAGGCTTGAGGTGATGTTGTTACAGCATACGACTTTGAAGCTTCTGTCTGAGAGATAGCTGGTGAGTAGAATGTATAAATTGTCAGGTATTATCGTTTTAACTTTGCAGAGAAGATCCTGATGCCAGACTCTATCAAAAGCTTCCTGGATATCCATGTACACAGCACTGCAATGCCGCTGCGCTTCGTAGGATCTGAGGATAAATTGCGTGACTCGTCCGATTTGCTGTTCCGATGAGTGCTGACTTCTGAAGCCAAATTGATGGTTTGGAATAGCCATGGCAAAGCTTTCTTCTTCAAAGAGTCGCTTGAGGATGAGGCGTTCAAGGATTTTAGAGAAGCCTGTAAGCTGGCTGATGGGTCTGTAGGACTCAAGCCTATCACTCGGCTTTCCTGGTTTCCTTAACATATAGATTTTTGCGCATTTCCAGGACTTTGGGAAGTGGCCGAACTGCAGAGCCGAGTTGCATATCAACAGCAGATACTCGATGGCGGATGTTGGCAGAGATTTAATGACGCGATTGTCGATACTGTCGAGACCGGGTACCTTTTTCGTTTTGAGCTTCTTAATTTTCGATTTGAGTTCCTGGATGGTCACAGGTCTGATTATTTGAGCAGCTTCATCTGGACCGTTTTCTTGTAATACTGCGTTAATTTCTTCTCTGTCTTCTAGGGCTGCCGTGATCTTTGGCGTGAAACGTGCTTCCAGGTGCTGCGCAAAGGCCTCAGCTTTTTCCTCCGTAGTTTTGCACCGTAGCTTGCTGCCCTTCCGCCACGTGCCTTCTGACTGGCAGATTTGGAATGGGCTGTCTCTTGATTGTGTTGGTGAGCCGCCATAGTTTGTAACGAACCGTTCTTATCCGTCTGATGCAGCTGGGCTGGCTCAACGGTCGGTAGGCTCGCTGCAACAATATTTGTATGTTGCCCCGAGGACAAGTAAGAAGGCACGGGTTGGGTCTTGTACTGGTATGCTAATATGCTTTATTGGTATCTTAAGTCTATCTTACGATATTCCGACTCCGGTGCTGGTTCTCCTCTGTGGTTCGATGAGCGCGTTGCTCCCTGGGACCCCCACGGCGTCGCCAAGCGTGGCACCGCCGGCTCTACTGACTGGGGCTAGCGATTCTTGGCAAGTGGCCCAAATCCGCCTCTCAGTCAGGCGCCTGACGCGTTCGCTCTCGCTCGACTCACTTGGCTTTTCGGCCCGAGGGTGCCTCACTCCTGGTGGGATGCGCTTCAAGCGTGGCGCCGTTGGTTCAAGGGATTGGGTTCTTTGGCTCTTGGCTGCAGGCTCGAGTCCGCCTCTCAATCCTCACACAACGCGTTCGCTTTCTAAAGTTATTTTCCCTTCGCTTGGTCTCACTTTCGTGGCTTACTATTCACTTCACTCTTGTTAGCTCCGTTTGCTGACTGTCCTCGTTCCTGGTCGCGGCCCTCCTCTTATAGGCTCGCTTCTGCGTCGGCGCCGCCGATGCCGCCTGGCGCTAACGGCACTTTCCGCCATGCGGTGCCCGTATTTTTCCATCGGCGTTCCTTCATTCCCTTGTCACTCTCCAACGGGACCTGGCTGGTGGCGTGATCTCATGACCATATTTGGTCATGCGCTGGGCCACTGCCGGCCCGATCCCGTCATCCCGCTGCTCTCTCTCCAGGGGTCCTCCCCTCTCATCTTGGGACCCCGGGAGAGCTCTCCTCGGGAATTCGCCGCCTCCGGATATCCCCGGATAACGGCCGTTAGCGCTTAACCCTATACTGCCCCCTACGTGTGGGAATACCTTTCCTCACACTTCCCCCTTTCTTTTATTGGCGGAAAATCCCGGTTTTCCGCGTCCCAGGTTTGGGATGTTTCAAAAACCCCGCGCGACCGGCGCGCGCGTGCTTTGTTCTCGACCCGGGTGCCCCCTGGCGCCCTCTTTCGGCCTTGCGCCTTGCGGCGTTGCCGTATCTCTTCGATGCGCGCGATCGATTCGATTCCCCCTTATCGATAGTTCGCATAGGAGCTTCTTTCGCCCCGCCCGATATAGGGTATGGTCGCTATTCTGACCTACTCGATATGACACAGCGTTGCCCTTACGCTCCACTCGATAAAGCGTAGGGTCAGTTCCTCTGCTGCAAGGTAAGACCAGGTTTTTTTTTTTAGTTGTTCTTGTTTTCCGTTACTTCTTTTTTTCTCATTCCTCTTCTCTACTCTTCTTTTCTCCTCAATACTTAGCCCGGAATACCTCCTGCCGATCGGTGGACACCAACAGCCGGTACCGGACGCCACCGTCGTTGGCCAGACGCTTCACCCTCCTTGCGGTTGGCTTTATCCGCGCGAGAGAGCGCGTGACGACGGCCGGCCACTCCTCGCGGTTGACGGACCGCCACCGTGAGTTGTCCGCCGACCTCGTCTGGGGCCACGATGCCTGGCGCTGGAGCTCGGGCCGGCGCGCCTCCGCCCGCTCCCCTGGGCACGACGCCTGTCGGCCCAGCTTCGGTCGCTCGCCCTGGCCGGGTTCCGGCCATCGCCAAGGACCTCTCTCCCATGGCTCAGGTGAGTGTTGTTCCGCGGCCTCGTCCTTCTTCGCTTCCGCCGTTGCTCTCGCGCCGTCATCCGCTTCGCCGTCGGTCGCCACCTCGATGTTGGTGATGTTGGCGTGTTCGTCGCCATTGGTGCGCGACGTCCCGTTTGTGGCGCTCCGCCTCCGCTTCTTGCGCCTCCTTTTCAGCCTCCTGCGTGGCCTTCAGCCTCTTTGCCAGCGTCAGGGCGTCCTCCCATACACGCCGTTGCCTCCGCTCCTCCGCTCCATTCCGCGAGGCGTCGTGCCTCAGCGGCCGCGTTGTTTTCCGTGATGTCGGCCTGCGTTGTCTGCGGCTCCTTGACCGCGGTTTCGGTCGGCGTTGGCTGCCGCTCCTCGATCTGTGGGTCTGTCGGTCGCTGATCCCCTCGCCGCGCCGTCGACCTCCCCCATGTGCGTGCCGACGACTCCTCTTCCTTGGCCGCACGCGTCGAACGCGTGGACGCCCGATCCGAGGCCCGCTCCCTGGGCTCCTCCTTCCGCGTCTCCGTGCGCCCCCTCCTTCCTCCCTCAGGCCGCTCCTCGCGCTTGCTGGGGTGGGGCTTCTCGCGCTTGCTGGAACGGGGCTCCTCGCGCTTGCTGGTCCGGGGCTCCTCGCGCTTGCTGGTGCGGGGCTCCTCGCGTCTGCTTGTCCGGTGCTCCTCGCGCTTGGTGTGGGGCTCCTCGCGTCTGCTGGTCCGGGGCTCCTCGCGCTTCGCCTCGCGTGCGCGTTTTCTCCGTGGCGCCGGCTCCCAGCTCACCAATTCCAGATCACTTTCCGCCTCGGTGTACCCCGGCGATACCACCGGGGACACCGTCGGTCCCATGGATCCCGCGGTTGACAGTAGCGGTGAGGCCAATAGCTGCAGCTCCGGGGACCTACTCCTGCTCGCCCTTTGCTCCTCGCGCTCGACCTGGTACGCCTGCCGCCGACTTTGCGTATCACCCATAGCCTGATACCCGCGGCGAATCCATTTTCGCTGCTCCGTTATATACCTTATTAAATGCTGCTGCATCTTACCCTTTTTTTCCACGTGGTCAACTTTTGAAAAGACCTGATCGTGCGCTGCCCCCTCCTTTATAAGGGCGCGTGTCGGTGCTCACCGTTCCCTGTAACGGTGCCTTACATGGGCCCGTGGGACGGCTCTCTCTTGCCTTCCAGCTGGCTCTCTCGCTCGCTCCCGTTTTGAAAGTTATCCGCGCCTCTCGCCGCGTTAACCCTAGGGTGCCCCCTGGTTTTGTTAGCCTTCCTTCGGTTCCCACTTCTTCTTCCTTTTTCCCTTTTTTTTTTTTATTTGGCCCTTTCTACTTCCAGGTCTGGCGACGTGTTGTTTGGCTTCGCCTTGAATCTGGTAAGCCTCCCGAGTTCTTGGGTTCCTCATCTCACCTTGCCTTTTCTTCCAGCCCGTCCTTGGGTTCCGATCCAGGGTGCTGACCGATCTCCCAGCCCGTGATCAATAGGTCCTCAGACCTTTCGCCCGTGCTGCCATTCTGCTCATCTCGGAACCCCCTTCTCGGGTGCCCCCTCGTCCGTCGACGCACAACGCAACCCGCCCTCTGGGGTAATGGTAACCCGGGTATCTTCTACCTTCTTTGCCTTTGATCAGTTCCTATTGGCTGACGAGCTAATCCTCCCTTTTTTTTCTTGTAGGTCCAGCTTCATTGGTCCGCCGGCCGCCGTCTGCTGCTTAGTTTTACTGAACCTTAATTGTAAGAGTATCCTGTATGGCCTTGTCCTGCGTGGCATCCAGTTGGGCCGCCCGCTCCTCCCTTGTGAGCGATTCCTGTCCTGCGTGACACGCGTGGTTCTTAGTTTTACTGAACCTTAGTTGTAGGAGTATCCTGTACGAACTTGTCCTGCGTGGCATCCAGCTGGGACTCTCCTTTCTGCCCCTGCCGCTAGTTTCTGTCTTTCGTGCTCGTCCATCCTTCTCCGTATGCCTCGCCCGTTGCCCCTCCTTGTGCGTCGTCTACCCTTCGGTTCCAGGGCCTGTTTCAGGGGTTCCTTCCCCGGGTTGTGGCTTCAGGTCCCCTATATGGGCGGTCCGCGTCCGTTTCTCGCTGTCCTTCTTTAATTTACAAATGACCGGGGACACGAAATCCATTATGGTGTAGGGACCGTCATATTTCGGGGCCAGTTTTGCCGCAAACCCTTCGGCCGCGTTGGATAGATGGTGGTGCTTGGCCCATACCTTGTCTCCAATCGTGGGTTTCCACGCTCTCCTCCTCAGGTTATAATACCTCGCCTGGTCCTGCGCCGCTCTTTCGAGATTCCGCCTCACCAGTTGAAATACCTCTCTCAACTTGGCAGCGTTCT